CTTCAGAGGGGTCACCCATTGAAAGTACATTACACCTCTTCAGAGGGGTCACCTATTGAAAGTACATTATACCTCTTCAGAGGGATCACCCATTGAAAGTATGTTATCCCTCTTCAGAGGGGTCACCCATAGAAAGTATAGCTGTTGAACTGGAGAGATGGCTCAGCAGTTAACAGCACTGACTACTCTTCCAAAGGACCTGGGTTCAAATCTCAGCACCCACATAGCAGTTCACAACACCATGTCTGTAACTCCAAGATTTGAGACTCTCACACAGACATACATGAAGGCAAAACACCAAAGCACATAAAATAACAATAAATAAAAATTTAAAAATATTTAAAAATACATATATAGCTGTTGTCTGAGCATAGTGGTGTATGCCCTTAATCCCAGCACTCAGGAGACTGAGGCAGGAGGATCGCAGTGATTTTGAAGCCAATCTGAGTTCTTACCCACCAAGGCTTTTTTCCAGCCCTCAGGTTTTGGTTTCTTGAGAAGTTCTCATATAGCCTGGACTGCCCTCCAGTGTGCTATGCAACTAAGAGTAACTTTGAACTTCTGATCCTCCTGTTTCTACCTCCAGTGCTAGGATTACGGATACAGGCCACCATTCCCAGCTTGAAATGCCATATTTTGATCTTCAAACAAAAGGAACCGCCGCTCCTATGGGAGCCCTCGTCTTGGAGAGCAGCCTGGAGAATGCAGTGGTTCGGGAGGCTCGGCACAACACAGACCGCTGTCTGGCCACTTAGGTCCCCAGGTGCTGCTGCTCATGGAGACATGAGCCAGCAGTTAGAAGTGGCTGCTCTTCCAGGGGACTTAAGAGTGGTTCTCAGCACCTATATGGTGGTGCAAGTGTCTGTGTTTCCAGTTCCTCCTCTGGCCTCTTCAGGCACCAGGCATGAATGTAGTCCAGAAACATACATGTAATAAAGCACATACATATATGTATAAGTATTTCATACATATAAAATAATAAGAAATTTTAAAGTTGAGTTTTTAAAAAGGGAGTGAGGGGACAGAGGAGTCACCTATTCCATAGGCAGAGGAGCCCCAGGGGTTCCAGCAGGTCTTTCCTCACCTGAATCTGCATGGCTGGTTCAAAATATGCCACAGACTTGATACTGATTAGGGTAGAGAGGGTCAGTAAGTGCTAGAGTCTTCTCTGCCTCAGTCTCCTCCCTTTAAGTGAGGACTGGTGATAGTGATCACTTCATCTGTTAAAAGACGAGTAATGACAAGTTTGTCTGCCGCCCACACACTTAGGAGGCTGGGGCAGGAAGACGGTGACTTTCCAGCCTGTCTGAGTTACATAGCTAGGACCTGGGTTATATTTGAGGCTAGCCAGGTCTTCATAGCAAACAAATATTTAAAAATGCACACACATCTGCACGGCATGCACCTTGGCACCACATCTGACACACAGTAGGCACTCAGTGGTTGTAGAGATTTTCTATTACTGCTGTTTCAAGAGCTCCGGGCCTGTCCAGGAGACCCTTCCATGGGGTGGGCGGATGACATAGAGGGGGTGGGCTCTCAGGCATGAGGACCTGCGGGACCAGGCAAGAGTCAGTGAAAGCCGCCCCCATCAACTGCCAGTTCCTATGGGAGCCCTAGTCCTGGAGAGAGCGGCCTGGAGAGTGGAGTGGGCGGCCTGGAGAGTGGAGTGGGAGGGAGGCTCCACACAACACAGTCCACTGCCAGGCCACTTAGGGTCCCCAGGCGCTGTTGCTCACTCCAAATCAGGGACCTCGAGGGAATAGCCATGAAACAGAGAAGGTGTGGGTCCCCCTGGAGGTAGCCTGGGAAATGCAGATCCACGTGATGTGTGGTCCATCCAGGGATTTGCACCAGGAAAAGCTTGGTGGAACAAGCCTGTAATTCCAAGCACAAGGCAGGATGGGGTAGGGGATAGACAATTGCCAGCATGGGCAACTTAGGAAGACATAGTCTGAAGTCAGAAAGCTAAAAATGGGTCGGGTGCTGGAGAGATGGCTCAGTGGTTAAAAGCACTTGCTGATCTTGCAGAGGATCACAAGTTGGTTCCCAAAACCCACATGGCAGTTCACAATCATTTGCAATTTTACTTCCAGGGAATCTAATACCCATAGGCACCTGGTATGTATATATGGTACACATTCATATATGTAGTCAAACACTCATACACATAAAATCTTTAAAATACCATTTTATTATCTATCTATCCATCCATCCATCCATCTGTCTAACTAACATCCTGACCACAGATTCCCCTCCTTCCTCTCCTCCCAGCCCCTCCCTTCTAAATATTTTAAAGCCAAATATGGTGGTATACACCTTTAATCCCAGCACTTGGGAGGCAGAGGCAGGCAGCTCTCTGAGTTCAAGGCCAGCCTGGTTTACAGAGCAAGTTCCAGGACAGCCAGGGCTACACAGAGAAACCCTGTCCTGAAAAAAAAAATCTGTGATAGAAAATTTCTTTAACATGTGTGTCCCTACATCGAATTCTGAAGAAGGAAGGGAGGGAAGAAGGGAAGGAGAAGGGGAGGGAAAGAGGGCCCAAAGAGACGACTAAGCGGACAAGGTGATGTCACCAGGTCTATTGACACAAATTCAATTCCCGAGACTCACAAGGTAGAAGGAGGGAACCAACTTCTACAAATTGTCCTCTGCCA